TTTTTGGGTTTTAAAGTCTTTCCAGCTGAAGGGGGCTTAAGTTCTGTCTTTTGGAAATTGAGAGTGGTGAGGAGAGTTCTGGTGTCTTGAATGCTAGGCGTGGGGTAGAGGAAGATAATCTTTCTTCATCATTTTGTATTTCTGTTTTAGTATGTTAATGAGTTTGAATGTGCTGAGTGCAATTTCCTTGTATCCAGTAGATTATAACCTTTGTGTTAGTGTGTTAGCAATCTTTCTTGTACTGTAACTCTCTTTTCATTGAGGAGAAGAGTATTTTGATATTTAGGCTATGTATGGATTAGCTTCAAACTGAAGTTGGGATGGCTCAAACCTTAGTTGGAAGGAATAAAAGCTCATTACAAAATAAAAATCATGTTTGGATTGAGAAAAAATTCCAACTGAAGTTAGGGTATGGATGAGCTTTTTTCCCAAAGCTCATTTTCATGGCTTCTGCATCTGCGTTGAGCAGCGATGGAAGCATTTAATCCATTTAAATTTTTTGTTATCATTTATTTCCACATCAACGTTCAGCGTGAGAGGGAAAGCTTTTTCTTATTTTTCACTAACAAAAGCAGGAGAGAGGTTGAAGAAGAATATCTAATTAATTAACCTGTTTAATATATATTAATTTATTTTAGATTTCTTAACTCCATTTTTTTAAATAAAATTATAATTTAAAGTTTAATTTTTTAAAACAGAATGTTGGTTAATCACAAAGTTTAATATTTTTTTAAAAAAACCAAATTAAATATATTATGAAATTTATGTCCTTTTTTATCATTATACTTCTAAACTGACTTTTAAATCAAATCATCCAAACAAATTTCAGTTTTTTTAACTGACTTCTGAAAAAAAAAAGCTATCCAAATAAAAATTATGTTAAAATCACAGACATTTTTCCTAACCTCAGTTTGCTAATCTCAATTGAGTCCTAACCTTAGTTGTAGATTTTTTAATCCAAGTACACACTTAATATAAATTCAGTGTTGGATGTCTGCTATTCTGCTTGGGCTCTATCAGTATTTTTGTGCCTTTTAAATAAGATGTACTTCTACTTCAGATTCCTATGAATCCTCCCTCATTACACATTTAAATTTTCAGGTCTCTGTCCTGGCAGATGATATCTTAAAGAATGTGGAGTTTGATGCCTTGAGGATTATTTTCAACAAGTTCCAATCAGTTGTCTCGTTTTTGCCAACTATGTCAACTGTATTGTCTCCTGAGGTACTAAAGTTTACTACACGATATATGTTATGCTGTAGAATATCCAAATGGTATTCATAGATGCCCACCTCCTATGTGGTTTGGTTTACCTGATTATGTAAATGCCTCTTGAACTTATTTATTTTGTGATGTGATTTTCTTTGATGTGGTGCTTTTGTCTTCCCTCTGATGGAGTAAAGTAATTCAACTCTCTTGTAGATTGTGGAGAGAGAGACTGAATCTGGCGGACAGCTTGGAGAATTGGACTCTTACGAGGTGGAAGGTGGTGAGACAAAATCAGAAATACTTCAAAATCTGGCTGAGTTCCAGTTTTCTTGTGTGAGTACAACTTTTTAGAGTCTGTTGAGCATTGCCACTGCTTCCAAATTGTCACACAATTCATTTAGGTTGTGTTTAGATGGGTGGATTTAGATTGAGAATTTGAATTTAAATTCTTATATTTGAAATGTTACATTTAAAATTCATAAATTTTAAATTCTTTGTTTGGATAATATAAAAAATTTACTTTGTTTGGACCTTAAATAAAATTCCATATTTCAAATTCTATATTTGAATATAAAGGCAATTCGAAAGATATTGGTGGTTTGATCCCAATCAGGGGTGGTGACCTAGTCTAGGCCTACTCCGGCTAACCAAACTCAAACAACATCAGTGGTCTAGTCTTGATCGGCATCGATAGTTCGGTCCTAGTCGACATCAGTGATCTGATTCCAAACAATGCTTAAGGATTAGCACGAGATGATTACGGCAGTATGAGGGTTGTGGATTAGACTTGGATAGCAACACTAGAACATTCCCTATTAAGTGCTTGGCGTTAGACGACAAAAGCAGATGAATCAAAGACAATGATCACAGACCGGTCTCGGACAGCGACAGTGGCAGCAAACTGACACAGGTTGGATGTGACGAACCAGCATTAGACGGTGGTCCCAATTGATGATAGCAGTCCGATCTTGGTCATCACCGGCTGTCTGGTGCTAGTCCACCCTAGTTGTCTTGGTCTCAATCATCCTTGGCGGTCCTGTGCTAGTACCAGTTAAGACCGACTGTCTGATCCTAGTCAAAGCCGGTTGTTCGGTCCGGGTGGGTGCCAACCATCTCGTCCTTGTTTGCTCTAGCTATCTGGTCGTGGTCAAAGCTAGCCGTTCAGTCTCGGTCTACATCAGCCATCTGGTCTTGGTTAGAGTTGAAGGTCCAGTTCTAGTTGGTGTTGACTGTCCGAGCTTGGTCCACCTTAGTCGTTTGGTCTCAGTCAAAGTTGGGACTATAAAGGATTTGAAATAATAGGGATTTATAAAGGATTTGAAATTATAAAAAAATTGAGGTAGGATTTGGGTTTGGGTCAAATCCAAATCCATACATTTTTAATTATTCAAATAATGGATTTGGCTCAAATCCAATTCCACATGCATCTAAACATAACATTAGGTTAATCTTATCACATGTTTCTAATTTAAATCTGGTTATCAGAATGAGAATGCAACTGGAAGAGATGCTTATATGCCTTAGTTTTCTGGGTTATGATGTCTGTCATTTTGTGGTGTCCGTGTTGGGTGCTCATGCTGATTTCTCAAACTCAGTGCATTAACAAGTTTTTATTAATAGGAGCTCCTGCTCTATCCCGTTCTATAGCTCCTGCTCCTTATCATTCCTCTTTTCTGGGTTTTTTGTTATGGTTTTTGCTACCCTTCAGTTTTATTGGCTTAGCTCATTAGACCTTGCAATGATTCTCAGAATTCATGGTCGAGACACAACTTAAGTATATGACCTTATGTTCAGTCTTAAGCAACTTTGAACTGTTCTTACAGTTATATAAAGAAATATTTGCTTTGAAGCAACATTTTCTGAGAGGATTGAAGGATATTTGCGCACACATGCATGTGTGTGTAGATGATTTTTACTGCTGGCATTTCTTGATGTCATCTGCTAGTAGTGTTAGATATTGTGCTGAGAAGTTGTTCAAGCTGAACTGAAATTTCTCTTTTGTTTAAACTGAGATATGTTCTATGTTTTTTTTTGCTGGGCAGCAACATGAATACCTGGTGATAATATCAACTGGCTTGGATGGACAGATTGCACTATAAATCCCTTGGGAATTTATAATCTTAAATGACTTTGTGCTAATTAAGGATCATTGTTTCTGGTTGTGTTTTTGACATACTTTTCTATCACCTTCATCTTACTTCTTACCTAGTATTTATAAACTCATTCATTTCTGTCCAAAGGTAACGTCTATTCCATGTTTTTCACTTGGAACAATATTTGGATGTTATAGGTCCTGTTCAATGCGGTGTTGGAGAATGCATGCAGTGAGCAAGGAGCAAGGATGTCCGCCATGGACAGTTCTAGCAGAAATGCCGGGGAGATGCTTGACCGCCTCACCCTCACCTATAATAGGTCTCTCTCTCTCTCTCTCTCGTCTTTGCACTTCTTTCTGATGCCTACGCACTTGATTCTTTGCTCAAAGGCTTAACACGGCACTACTTACACTTAGATGTTTTTTGATATCTTCGTCTATCCAAATTAATTGCATTATTACTAATGCTTGTTTTCTTTACATTGTTAGAGTTATGATCTGACGGATATCTCTTTTCTAGAATTATTGTGATTGATCTCTTGTTTCATTTTGTGGCAGAACTCGTCAAGCATCCATTACCACTGAATTGATTGAGATTATCTCAGGAGCATCAGCCCTAGAAGGTTGATCGGTGGGAATAATTTTGCTAGTCTGTTTGATGAAAGCGAAATAAGGTTCCTGCCAGTGGGGTTTTTTTTTTTTTTTTTTTAAATGCATTTGTGCACTCTTGTTCATCTGTAATAAATATAATTGCTGCAGGATGATGCACTCTTTCTGGGTTCCTGGTCATATATTTCAGCTTGTTTTTTTTTTTTTCCCCTTTTTGATGAGTTTAATCATGTCTCCGCTTACATTTAATGACTCATCGACAAAGTACTTAAATCATGAACCTGAACGGGCGTTTATTTCACGCAGTAGTATTAAACTGGTCGTTTGAGGCTATTGTGATTTAAGGCACCTTTGAATCAAACTGATCCTATTGTGATGTATCTGCTCTAGCATTCAGATGGCATCATGTTTTACGCAAATTCGGATTCTATACATGATGTTTATTATTCTTACGGTCGTTAATAACCTGCATGTTGTTGGTTATAATGAAATCTAGTGTTAGTGGATTGATGCGTTATTCTCGGGATAAACTAGATTATGCCAAATTTATATTCGATTGTCGAATTCATTGATATTTTGAACAAATTCTGATTTTTATTGTGGTGACATTTCCAGTTTTGTTTGCTTAGCATTCTCAGGGAAATATATTGTTCCTAGATTCAGAAATTAGCTAGAGTTTAACCTTATCTTAAAAGGCTGGGTTGTCTAACTAGAGTTGGCTCACGAAGTTAAAGATTGATTCCTTTCTTTTTTCTTCTTTTTTTTTTAAGGCCGACACGGAGTTAAAGATTTCACCATAGAATTTTGAACGGTTGATGTACTATACCGATTAGTCAATTTATAATTTGCATCATAAAGAATGCCATGACATCATAACAATGACGATATTGTCATCATTGACTACCCTAATTTGGTGCAAAATTGGCCTCATTCTGTGTTTATCAGACTTGTGATTGTGATTCTTACCATGACTAAAACATAGGCTTGAGGCTGAACATTTTACAAGCCATTTAGTATCTTAATAACAATACCGACAACAAAAATCACCAACGTTTTTCCCCCTTCTTAAATTCTGTTCAGACTTGTCTTTTTAATTCCTCCTCCTCCGTTAGATAACCTCATTCTATATAAAGCAAATCCATGTAATCTGCATCATAGCCTATTTGGTTGAAATGAGATGAGAGAGATATTCAGAGAATTTTGCTGAAGGATGTGCATCAATTCCCAAGCAAATGTACAGGAAACACAATTCATACTATCGCAGTTTGCAGTTTGCATTTTGCAATGATCAATCGAGAGGACCTCTTATTCATTTATATTCTTTCTTTTTAGTATTGTATTGAATCAGTTCTTGAAGTTGGCTTATGACAGATACACCAGAGCAATATATATGTAGTTACAGCTGCTCTGACGATATAAAAGGATAAGCTTTTGTAGAAGCATTTATGCTTTCTACTATGCAATGGATCTTGGAAGCGGCTTTGCCTTCTTAGTTATGGAACTGGCATAACTGACACATCAACACGTGTTAGGTATAAATCTTAATAATTTTCCTTGTGAAAAACAAATCTAGTTGTAGTTTTGACGGAAAATTCGGTGCACAGCCTCTTCAAATCTCTTGCCAAATTTGATGGGCCACAGTAGAAGACCCCTGTACAACCAAATCCACAAGCTTAGTGAGGAATAATTTTTAAAGCAAAGTTTATTTCTGATAAAGTGGTTGGCCAAATTATCTATATTCCATATCAGTTCAAGAATATGACACACAAAAATGATATAATATCCAACCAAAAATTGTGGGATGTTTCTTCTCACCAATTTTAGCACCACTATGCTTGCGAGCCAACCTGGAAAATATGGCGAACCAATTTGGTCTAGCAAAATGCGTGCGAATCTGGGGGGAAATCATGACAAAATTATTTCTTTTGAATGAGAATGAGGAATTAATTCATTATTTAATTGTATATGCATATGTTCAATGTTGATATCACATTAATGTTAACTCTTTCTTCTAGACAAATCATTACATGGTTTAAGAATCTCTACATCATTTTAGATGTCAAAAGACTGATAAAAAGAACTGTAATTCTAAGTAGAACGTATCAAACTTCATCTATTGGTTTATTCTGCTCTAGTAGTAAAGCTCAAGTGATTTCTCTGTCTGAACAAATTTTACAGTTTAGTGTTTAGCTAGTTGTTATCATGTTCTTGGATAAAAATAAAACACGTGTCAAGTGGATAATGTTTCAACTTAGCATGACATTATAGAATATAACATAGAGAAAGTTCATGTAAATTTAAATATTCTTCTGGAGAACCCTATAGCAAATACATCAAGAACTTCATTTAGGACTTGCCCTTTATGACTTGATCAGTACAGTTGAGCCAAAGCTAGGAGAAGATGCAGTTTCTTACCGGAGTGTTAGAGACAACATCAATACCATTCTTGGAATGATGCAAGGACTGAATTATGCTTATCAAAGCTGAACGTACATCGCCCTCTTTATATACATTCGTCAAGAAATTGTGCATCTCCGCAACAGGCTTCAAGGTCACCGATAAAGTAGAATGGTTAGGAAATGCCAATATGAGATCTCACTTGCATCTTGTAATCAAGGATATCGTTTTGATCACAAAAAGATTTTGGACTGATCTTATGATAATTATCTTTCAGGGACTTAATTGACAGAAGCGGTACCAAAATGATAGTTCCCTTTTAAGGTAGCGGGCAAATACGGTAGTGGGCAAATACTAGAAAACAAATTGTACCTAGGCATACCTCCTTTTTGTTTGAATTTGAGATTTCCTTCATAACATCTCGAAACCAATCAAAGGAGCTTTGTTCTCTTGTAATCCAATAGAAGTATGCTTTTAGTGGCTTCTTTCCTAAGCTGCATTCTCTGAGACCGCTCTATTTCAAATGCCAAAATATGGTGTTTGCTTAACGGCAAAGAAACAATGCCAACTCAACTCTTGGCAATAAAAGGCACTATCACCATTAAAGGGGAAAAAATAGACAGAAGACCCAATGATCTTACATGATCAATTGGAGGTGCTTGGTCACCACTAAGTACATCTTTGAGGATGCTAATGAATGGGGTGGCTCCAATCCCAAGCCCAATTAACACCACAATATCATACTTCACATGGTCTTGTGCTGCAGCACCATAAGGACCATCTATGTACAGTTTTGGACAACTATGTCCTCTTGATAGTCCAGCCTGCATATAATATTTTTGTACGAGGATAATTTTAGTTAGAAGCTTATTTCCTAGATGTTTGAACATAAAAAAAGGGGAAAAATCATATTTTAGTTAAATATGTTTGTAAATAATATTGGGATTCTGGGGTGGAAGTGTTATTTTTTTTTTTTTTTGGGGGGGGGAGAGGGTTTAAGATATCTAATGTTCAAATTCACCTCCTGAAAAAGAGCATGAATTTGGTAGCTCCAGTCTCCAAGAGTTCTGATGTGCACACTTAGGTAGTCATCTTGTGGTCCTGAAGTCAAGGAAAATGGGTGCCTGAAAATTTAGATGCAGTAAACTCAAATGGGACATCACTTCTGTGATTGAATGGCTTTGTGTTTAATGAAAAGGCCGTATGAGATAGAATTACCATTCAAAAGGTGAGATTTGAGGGCACTGAAGGAATATGTACATGCCACTTTGGTACTTAAAACCTTCTGGCTTTTGCATTTTGAGAAACAGAACTTTTCCAGGATAGAGATTCGCCTGCACTTAAATATTAAAATGACAATGATTAATGATTAAAGAATGATTGAGAAGATAATAATTGTTTTCCAAGCTGTCCTAACAACTAAAAGATTTATAAGTTTTTGGTTGAGAAGAATAAACAAGCGTAAATATAATATTATTAATTCCCAATCCTATTGAATAATTGAATGAATAAAGAATTTGATGAAAAATACCTTCAAAATATCAACTTCATAAAATCCTGATCTTATGACCCGAAAGATCCTCTCTCCAATGTATAATAAAACTGGAAAAGCAACGTACATCCATGTCTGCACGTTGGTAAATACTTGTACTAGTTACACGTATCTCAGAGTTAAAACCATATACCGTAGTAACGTATAGTCACTTTTACCAATGGCTAGGTCAAACAAAATAGAATAATACAGGTGAATAACAATATAACCACTCATTATTTTGGAAGAGAATCACCATCATTTGACTCCATAATTTTTAAAGATACATCAACTTAGTCCATCTAATGTAGATATTGATAGTTAAAAGAATTAACACCGTGATCATATTGATGGATTTTGATAACTTTCGGGGTCTTCTTTTCTTCTGGCCTGAAGCTTTGGAGTCAAATGATGATAATTTCCTTGTAAGGAGAAGATGAAATAAGCATGTTTCAACGATCCGAAGAGTGATTTCCTCAATGGAAAAATAAAAGGGGGTCAATGAAGATGTTAGAACACATAAAAAGAACACCGGTTTACCGTTTTCTCCAGCCATTTGTCGGTCAGGAACAAGAACATGGAGTGTACAATCAGGAGGGCATACACGAGGATGAACAAGTGGTGTGAGTACCAAAAGGTATTGTATCCTGTGACCTTTCGTAGAGACAAGGGCAGCCTAGCAGAACGACGTCGTGGCCACTTTGTTGCCAATACAAATGCAATGGCCATCAGCACCACCATGGCAATCCCACTTGCCACCTCTATCGTGGTCAAAATTTCCAAGTAATTTGGTTGATGGTAACCGAATCTGACGGCTATGGTTTGCTTGAACAATGTTTTATCAGCGCCACTGATCCGTGGAAAATCACAAGCTAGATGCGTACCACCGTGTAGGATCACACCCACCATTATTCCTCCTGCAATCAGCTGTATATATCCAAAAAAAAAAAAAGCAAGTTTTTATTTTCTTTTCACCCCATTCCTGTTGTCAACTATGTATCAAAGAAACTAAAATTATCTTATTAATCAAGTCTCTCGTCGTTATAAATAAAGACAAATCAATAATAACATTTTCTATAGCTATGCAGAACTTGGAAATATAATCTTATGCTGGTAAAGTGTGCTGATTAGGTAAACTCTTGAGCAGGGTGATGAATAGTTTGGCACCACGAATAAAGTAGTCTCAAGTAGTTCAGTTGACCAAGTTTCTTGCAATTTTATATAAAGATGGAAATAAGATAGATCCATTTATTCCAAAGTTTATTATGATTAGTTTTGTTGATGTGTCAGCCGTCAAAGCTAAGCACATGATAACCGAACTTTGTGCTAAAATTTAAATGGTAGAGATCAAACTCTTAAACCGCTTGGTTATAAAAGCTCATAAAATGTCATGAATCTCTCCATTCCGAAAAATCATTGACTAATGGATTAGGCATATAATTAATAATTAATTTGAAATGAACGATAAATTACAGAGTATTTTCATCAACTTAACTAAAACCAAGTGATCCACCCCGCAATCCAGCTCTCCTAAACTTTTATATATCAAAAGAAAAAAAAAAGCAGGTGGTTGAGACAGGTGCTTCAAGGTCGGGGAAAAAAGAAGTGGTTGAGATGCGTGGAATGTGGACTAGATAAAATACTACCAAAGGGCAGGTTTAGAGGAGTATAAACTGAGACAAATGAACATTAACTGAAGATTTGGAGAGAGAAAAAAAAAATCAAGCACTAACCTTGTGGAAGTTAATGTTGTCGTTAAAGGGGACGGCGGAGTTGATACAAGGGTGTTTGCGGAGCCACGTGATTGTATTTCTACAAACAGGAAGGAGAATCAGTGCCATGTTGAGTTTTAAGGTCTCGGCAGCTCCCTTGGCCGTCGAAAGACAATAACCCATCACTTCAAATGCAGATCTTTCGCGGTATTGAACAAACTTCCAATAAAATAACACACAACAGGCAATCACCCAAAGAAGAACAATCCAAGCCCGTCTCCAATATGTTCTAAACAACACTTCACCCCTTGACATTAGCTCTTGTTCTTCACGAAGCTCCCCATTTAGGACGCCACTATTTGTAACTACTGGCAATTGTGTAGCTGGAGAAGCAGAAAAAGAAGAATTTGGTGGTCTTGTTTTGAAGAGACGCCCCATTTGAGTTACCTACAAATGATGCATCTTTTGATCAAATAGGCATGAAAAAAATGTTCGTTCGCAATTCTTTTGACCTAAGAAGCACTGACATGATTGCATTGATCATACTCTAATTGTTACCTCAATGTAGCCTCTGCTTTTGTTATCAAGCAAGTCCATGATCATAGCAGCATAATCATTTGCTTCTTCTTGGGTCACGGATAGCTTGTTTGTAAAGGCACTCAGTAAGATTGTCTGCACCAAAAGACAAAATTAGCATTTAATCAAAACATTGAATCGAGCAGAACAAGCCAATTGCAAACGAAAATTTAGGCTCATCCAGCGTGATTAGATTAATTATAAAAAGTCATATAAGAACAAAATTAGTTCTCTACGCTAGAACCGAAATTAATATGAACATGCAGAGCAAGAAGCATGATTAATTTAAGGCTCACTGAAAACCAATAATTTTAACTCGGAAAGTGACAAGGAGCTGTTTCTCAAATATTTACCTGCTTTATATCCGTCTCAGTAATTCTTCCATCCATGTTTCTGTCACACCTGGGTTAAGAAAAATAATATTAATTGCGGATAAAAAATGGGAAGTGATGGTTCAGAATTAATTTCAAGAAGATAATTACATGTCAAAGAAGATCCTCATTCTAGAGTCAAAAGATTCATCCTTCATCCGAAGCCAGAATCTTCGTATATCACTTTTGGTGACGTCAATTTTCCAGTCTCGTCCTCCACGTAGAGCCCTCAGCAACTCATTGGCAAACTCTAGCGATTGCTGCATCCCTGCAGATTAGAAAATTAATTAATAAAGACCATAGCAGGTAGACAATGTATGGGATAAAGGAAAAAATGTACAAGCACAAGAAATTAAAATATAATAAAGTAAGGAGATCAGTTAAATTAATGATTCCACAAGCTGTCCTGATATGGCAGTATGCCATATGCGATGCAAAGAACATGGCGTCTAGTCTCCCATTGGCGCAGTGGGGTACGTTGGCTCTGCTTATTTGACTCTGCCAACATGCGCACCGCTTAACAGAACTGACACCGAAAAGCAACGAAACGGCGCCGTTTCTGACGGCACAAAGTGACAAATATTCATAATCGTAATCATGAAATTCTCCAGTTTCCAATTCTCACCGATGCAAAACCCAAACCCCGACCATTTCACCACCGGTTCGCTGCCGTTAAGGGTCCGGGAGGCGATCTGGTCGAACCGCCGCTCCACGTCCTTCCACTCCAGTCCGCCGTGACCCACAAAACTGACGAGTCTAAATCCCAATCCCATGCCTCGAATGGCTTCATTCTCCGCAATCATAGGCCGGTCCAGTTCCTGCCGCAAAGCCTCGGATCCGGTTCGAACCGGCGGAGAAGAATGAGGAAGAATGGCGTCTTCACCCGGAGTCCAGGAAGAATAAGAAGAAGATGACGACGACGACGAAGAAGTAGAAGACGGTGATGATCTCAGAAGAGCAATGAGGGACCGTTCGTGTGTATTTCGCAGCTCTAAGCTCCTATCCATAGACGGCGATGATCTCAGAAGAGCAATGAGAGAGCGGTCGTGTGTATTCCGCAACTCTAAGTCCATAGATGAGGAGCTTTTCAAATCCCTCTGCTGAAGTTACAATCCGATTGCTTCTTCTAGCGAAAAATGTGAATCGTCGCGGCGTATTTTCATTGCTATACCAGGGAAAGAAGATGAATGGAATATTTTTAACAACTCCTTGTGCTTTTATCCGAGCTGCATTCCAGGTCCGGCAGAAGAAGGAGAGAGAAAGCAAAAGCCAGAGTTAGTATGTTTGGTTTGTTTTTCCTTTTGGCTTTTGGTTTGCTATAATGTTAATATGATATAGAAGTTTCTGTGGAACTGAGTGGTTGAGCCAGGGAAAGAAAAAGGACAAGATTGATGGTTAAATCTAAACAAGGATAAACCAAATGTGGGTTTGGTTGAGAAAGAAGAAGCGTGTAGAGAGAGGGACAGGGAAGGAGGTTTAGTTGAGGGAGTGAAGAGAACAGGAGAGGGTGGGGAAGCAAATAGGAAGAGGGCAAGTAAACAAAGAATATGGAGAGGCTCTGAATAATGTGAGTGAATGTGGTCATGCTTATATATTGTGGGGGACAACGCAACAAAGAGAATGATCACAAGTCACAACCTGTGTGCGTCGGCAAGTATGTGAGGCTGAATCATTCTAGAAATTGCCCTTCTTATGTATACTCTTCAAATTCAACTGCGTTTAACCCCTGTCCAAAGCTATCCAAAAAAAAAAAAAAAAAAAAATATTACTTCTAATCGGATGTCTAGACAAGTGTAAAAATGTCACGACATGCTTGTTCCCGAACATCTCGCGACAATAATTATGTAATAGACTAAGAAAATAAAAATGAATTTAATTATCTAAATTACTCTTTTTTTTCTCATTAGTATGGTTCCCCTACATATGATCCCTTTATATTTTGATTATTTTATTTTTATTTTTTTTTTAATTTATTTCATTTTTTTTTCTCCCTTGGCAACCAAACAGTCCTTTAGATGTCACGATCTTCAGTTATCTGATGTAGAAATCTTGTGATTTGTGACTTAATCAATTTTTTTTTTTGGGTCCCGTTCCATGGTTTTTCCGTAAACTTGCATTAAAAATAATTGAACTGCATGCCCACTGATACTGTTTATATAAAATTCAGCCTTCTTTACCTTTTATATCATACTTATTGAATTTTATTCACAGTAAGTGAAAAAAAAAAATTAACTCAGATTATTAGTTGAATTAAGCAGCTTCCGGCTAACTTGTTTGACATGTCAAAGTAATGCAAAATAAACTTCAAAAAAGACCATTCCTTACCTACTAGTACTACAACAAAAGAAATCACTTGTGATTCAAAAATCGATTGAAAAATAAAGGGAAAAAACATGGCAGTTTCTTTTCGATTGTTTAAGGAATTGAAAGATTTTGTATGATAAGTTTTGTGATGGATATAAATGATAATTTTTTTTTTACTTTTTAAAGTGAATTATAAGCCTCTTATGACATTTAAACAAACATCTCAAACTATTGAATATGGTCTTTATTAGGCACTTAAATGTAATTTCTTCAAATCTCAAAAGTCAAACAAAATTAATTACTCCATTACCAAAATAAATAATAACAAGTCTTATATTGCTATTTACAGGGTGAGGTTGACTGTTTATTACACTAATATGTTCTGTTAACAACTCACCCTCTAGAAGATAAGTAAAATTCTTAAGATTTATTCATTTTAAATCTGTTTGAAGGTTTAATTTACTTTTTGCAACAAGATTTAAGATATTATCCATATCCAAGTTTAGTTATAAAAAAAAACAGAGAGAATAATTTAAATCACCAATTCTACACCGTAGGTTTGGTTTGGCCATACTTAATCCACTAATTATAAGTGGCACAAACCAACATTATCCCAAAAACATATCAAGCAAATCCATCTACAGATCTCACACTATAATTATAGCCAGCTATACAACCCCTTTTTAAAAAATATAAAAAAAAAACAAAGGAGAAAAAAGGGGCCATTTTATTGATCGGATACGAAGAGTACATAGAGAGTGGAGAAACTTGCACAATTCCAAGAGCTTCAATTTCAGAAGAAACTAGGGAGAAAATTTTGGGAAAGGACTATGAAAGAAGCATGATTAGAGATCTTCATTAACGAGATTAAATTAGCTGAGAAATACTGAGCAAAATGCTCTCACCAGATGGGACTTTCCCTTGTAAAGTGGCACATGAATGAAGGTAAAACATGTCAAGGTTGTATGCAAGTTATTATGCATGGAAAAACAGGGAGAGGACACTCTCCTTTTGTCCTTCCCCTCCTTTTCCTTTTTCTACCATGGGATCAAAATTTTGACAATTGAAATTTAATATTTTCTAAACTATGCTATGATTTTATAGGTGTATTTATGTGAAAGAACCCATAACCAGCTGCTTCACAATATTTTTTTAAATAATAGTCCCTCAATCCCAAATTATAAGATATTTTTGGGATAGATTTGTCGTCTCAACATATAAAACACTTTGATAAAGATAAGATTTTATTAATAATATTTTTTCAATATTACTCTTCTAATTATATTCTTTCTTTTCAATATTCTTTCATATATGGAGTATCAAAATGAAGGGTGTTTTTGAAAGTTTGTATTTTTGTTTTGAAAAATCTAAATTAAAAAATATATTTAATGAACTTTATTGATATATGTTATATCTAAAAGTATATTATAATTTGATATCGAGGGAGTATGATATTTTATTTTATTTTGCCAACAATAATGCTTTATACTACTCCTCTGGTCTTATTTATAGGACAAAAAAGAAAAAGTAATTAGGTCTTATTTATAGGACTCTTGTCAATTTTTAATGTTTCTCTTTACATTTTTGCTCTAATTAAATACTTTGAATAAAAATACTAATAATAAAATTTAAGAATATTTATTAAGAGTAAATGTAAAACTTGTTAAATTTTAAGACAAAGTTAGTGAGGTTTAAATTTTTTATTGGTTTTAGTGAAATATGCTAAAAGTAACTTATAAATAGAATCAGAGAGTGTACTACTCCATTTTTTAATATAAGAGAAACCACTATATTTTTATTTGTAAGAAAAATCATAAATTTCAAGAAACAAGTATCACATTTTTCTCAAAGGAATAATTACATCCAAGGATATTTTAAAAAAATTACTCATAAACAAAGACTAACAAGAAGTCTCATTTGACAAAAAAATAAATCACATTTCCATTTTAACAGCAATCCATTTCATATTGATCCTTACTTGTACATAATTTTCTTGAGGAGTCTTTGGATGTAATTCTCCCTTTCTCAAATTGCCCCTCATAAAATCAATATTTATTTTCTCTAGAAAAAATTGATTTCCTTAATTTTAGGGATAATTTAGTTTAATTTTTAAATTTTTAGACATAGTTATACTCTTAACCAACTTTCTTAAATTATGTGAGTTGATTATTTTCTCTTATAAATTACTTCCGCCATTCCAAATCATATGACATTTTTGAAAGAGTTTTTCTATCTCAAAATATAAGACACTGTGAGTAGATTAAGGTTTTATTAAATGTGCCAATTTTAATATTACCTTTCCTCTCTTTATAATTAATTTTTATCTTTTTTCTTTTCGATATATTAAATTATAAGAATTTTTAAAATTTTATAGTTTTATTTTAAAAAGATAAAATTATTAAGTGTATTTAATGAAATTTATAGGTATGTGAGATTTTATTTAAAAATATTTTATAATTTAAAATAAAGAGAGTATTATCAACTCCAATATTAGAGAATAAAAAGTCAAAACACCAATTAGGCAATTAAATATCCTTGACACGAATCAATTTGAACGATAATTTTCCGGCAATCAATAATATCAACGACTTTTCGCTTTTTGGCAATTTCAATGGTGGCTTCAGCTGGTTGTATTGTATTTGGTAGAATATCCTTTGTTTATTTACATGTCAAAAGTTGAGCTTATAGATTATAATTATACTATAATTAATTACACAAATCCATGGATTTAAACAACAACAAAAAAGAGGTCAACGTGCTTTTGTTGATGCAACTTTTAATTTTATGAAAAGGCTGTATATATTTTTAATCTAAAATATATCGAAATATTATTTATTTAACAAGAGATCATTTTTCATAACTAATTTTTTTAAAAAAAATTCACTCACATGTAACTTTCTAGAAATCTAACCACAAAAGATTGCAAAATTTTACTTAAAATTTTGGGAGAATGACAATTAAGGACCTTCTAAGAATATTAATTTCAATTACGGATCATAAAATTTTAAAATTTCAGTTAAGGATCATGATCTTTAATTGTAATAAAAAATGTAATTTATGAGGTGGGATTCACTAACGCGACTTGAAAATTCACTAGCCCAACTTAAAAAAATTACTAACGTATATTGTAAAAATATGAAACCCCACTTGAGAATGGAATGTTTAACAAAAAGCACCACTTGAAAATTCACTAACTAAACTTGAAAAAATTTTTAACGTATATTGTGAAAAAATAAAACCCAACTTGAAAATCAATTGTTTAATAAAAAGTGGCTTGTCCAAATTGGTGTTTTTTATTAAACAATTGATTCCCAAGTGAAATTTCATGTTTTCACAATATATATTAGAATTTTTTTCAAGTCAAGTTAGTGAATTTTCAAGTGGTGCTTTTTGTTAAACAATTAATTTTTAAGTGAGGTTCCATGTTTTTACAATATACGTTACAAATTTTCTCAAGTTGGGTTAGTGAATTTTCAAGTAGCAATAGTAAATTTTATCTCATAAATTATATTTTTTTATCTCAGTTAAGGACCACAAACTATATTTTTTTATCACAATTAAGGACCATGATCCTTAACTGTGATTTCAAAATTTTATGATCTGTAATTGGAATTAATGTTCTTAAAAGATCATTAATTGTCATTCTCCCTAAAATTTATGTTAACAAATAATTTTATCCAGTACATAAGAAAATTAATAACTAAATCTTCTAAAAATAAAGTAATGTAAAAATTCTGGTTCATCAATGAGGATGAAAGTATGCTAAATTTTGGTTAAACAAGTCTAATATATTTGTATAAATAAGCTTAAATATAACCTTTTTTTGTTAAATAAATCATGCCAAAATTTAAATAAGTCAAGATGTAAGCCCTTCAAGCCCATTTTGCTGTTTTAATATTTTAACAAAATTTGGCTAAATTATAGTAATAATATATTATATATAAAATTATTTATATTTATATAAATGAGGAAATGATATTTACTTATATTTATGATAATAGTTAATTAATATAACATAAAATAAAATTTTAATTTATTTATTATTTTAATTTTGATCAACTTATAAAAAAAGAAAATTTTAAAATGAATAAACACAATTCATGTTAATTATATTTTTCATAAATATGATGTTAGGCACCTAAATCTTCCCCTTTTATTTATAAACTTATACTATATCACAATATATATTGATATAACTATGTATATAAATAATATTCTATATAATATAAAAAAAAAAAAGGTAGGCCTAATTGG